CCTCCAAATCAGATATGATCTTTGGATCAAGTCAATACCCGATCGGGTATTTGTTTTACCCGACCGGGTAAATGACTTTTTCCCCAAATTTTCACTTGATCTTGTTCCCTTTCACTTTCCTTCACCTTTCAAAGGATCCTTTTGATGATCTTTACCTAGTTAAAGCTCAGAATAATCCTAATCTATACAAATTACAAACAAAAAAGAAAAATAAAGTATTACACCAAAAGTGTGTAATTTCTCAAACAACAACAAATAAAACTAGTTAAAATTACAAACATAAATGATAACAATTCTATACTATCACCTATTCCAAGATATGATTTGCTAGTCTTCTCTTCTTCAATCAGCAAGAGTCTTGAAAGATGTTGATATTATCTGAACAGTGAAGGATTAAATTAAAGATTTTTTTATGATTCCCCACTCTTTTTTAATTTCTACTTTTGGAAGTTTTTGTCTGGCTTCTTCATTGGCCAAAAGTTTTGTCTCCTTCATGTGTGCGTGTGGTATGTTATTCTTCTAGCAATGTGTACAAGTTTTGTGTTTCTCATCGGTGTAATCGGTCTGGTGAATACTTCTCTTTCATGGTTTTTTTAAAGAAAAAGGATTTTATTGATTAATGGAAAAAAAGTACAAAGCGATAATGGAAAAAGCAAAAACAACAACAACAAAAAAACAAAAATGACAGTAAATTAAATAAAAGAGCTAGTCCCATGGGAAATCTCTAGATTGAGACCTTGTCGTCATGTTGTGACGTCTTTTGTTCTTGTGCGATTTCCTGTAGATTTTCAATTGCGTATTCAAATTGTCAGTTGGCAGACAATTTTCTGAGGTTATTAAATTAGCTTTGTGGCAAATCGCGGAATTGGATTTGGACTTCCTAATTTCTTCCGGGTAAGAGATAGGAGGACGGCGGTCACTTTCGGTTGCATATCCCAAGAAGTCATCTGTGAATAGTGAGTCGTCTGAATGATCAAAGTCGTCAGATGCATCTGAATAAGCCTGAATCAATGGCAACTGGAGTTGTTTCCCAGAAGATTAGATTTGTTGCTTCTCAGTTACTGCTGTCTGGATTTGGTAATTAAAAATCAGTTTAGATATGGATGTGGGGTCCTCTGTTTCTAACAAACTCTGATGTTGAAGAGCTATGGAGTCATCCTGCACTGATTGTGAGAGCCCTACAAAATTAGAAAAAAATATTAAGTAATTTAAGTAGGCTCAAATTTTGTGATCCCATGGGTATCTGAATGAAGCTCCCTTTGCGTTTCACCATCTTAACATAGTAGCCTGCTTCGTTAAAATTCACGGAAATCGTGATATTCCCAAATTGCCCTTTTTTCGAAATTTGCCTGATCATTCATTGTGAGCTGGTAGATGAACCGAATGATTTGAGGGACAAGCTCAAGTTTGAGATGAATCTTATGCATGAGAGATCTTTTAATTTTAAATAAGACCAAATCTCTATCACTCTTTGCAAAGCTAAAAGTTTTTGCTCCTATTTTGATCGAGTCAAATCCATATTCTCCAAAGAAGCAGTATTTTTCACGGACATCAGTAGGATTTGTAGATGCCTGTTCTACTTCCGTTGTTATCATTTCCATAGTGCAACTAGGAAAAATTACTTCAGTGGTGCGTGCTAGGGCAAAAGAATGGTCAATTACAGCCTGCCCTGAAGAAGAACCTGTGATAATTGAAACATTATTGTCCATCGGCACAATTTTAGAGCCATCCATGTCCTTTTGTGCGCTGTTTTTGTCCCTAGCGCCCTTGAGCACATCAGCCCATGTGATGGCCATGGGTGTTCCGACTGACCAAGCCCCCACTGCAATCCTATTGTCCGTTGGCATGACAGGCGAGGCTCCTAATACAGTATGTGGTGGACCCTTTGTCGATGCGATTTCCACCGCTCGATTATTGGGAGTTCCGACCTTTGGCTGGTTACCGGCTTTCGGCGATGATGCCGGCTTATGAACGTTTCCGTTTTGGGCCGTTCGCAAAGAGTCCCCCGTTTCTCAGTTTTGAGTGCCTACCGGTTGAGTTTCTTCTCCCTCCCAAGAAATCGCCTTTTCTAATTCTCCGGTAATCGTAAAGAAGGTGATTACCTGGTTCAATTTAAAGCGCATAAAATTGATTATTGTCTTCTAAATCTAACCTTTGATAGCGATTGAGATTGCTAGAAGCCCGGAGCTGTTCTGGGTTGGTGTGTTGGTGCGCAGTTGAACGTTGATTTGGGCGAGCGTTGTTAGGCCGTTTGTGGTAGCGGATGATGCGCCAATCTTCTGACGGCTCCCCTGCTTTGAGGCTGTTCGGCGTTCTAGAAATGGCTAAGCGTTTGATCGTCGTTCCAGTTGCTGAAACCTTTCCTCAAAATCGTTTTTTGATTTAAAATTGCTGAAGTGTTTGTTGTACCTGTCGATGTGAAAGGGAGTTGTGTAGTGGGTGCGGACTCTCTCTTCCCTGTGCCTGGGATGAAATCCGTCAAACCAGGTGCTACGCCGGCAATTGGATACAGGATATTGGGTTGTAATTGTTCTGGGTGAGAATTCTTCGTGCCTCTTGAGTCTGCTATCCCAAACTCTGCATTGGGGACAGTACACCTACAGTGGTTGTTCTCATGGTTGTTCCCGTAGCTAGGGTGAAATACCTGAGAGTGATAGCAAATATTTCGTGATTCCCATCGACAATGTTGCTTCCGGCGGTTTGGAGGGTGCCGGAATTCCATATGATGTTTTAAGATGTCGTTGGGTTTCTAGAGAGATGGAGGAGATTCTCTCTCTTCATTTTTCTCAATTTTCGATTTGTGTCGGAATGGAAATTTGTCGTTATAAAATTTGATATACCCGACCGGGTATAGTTGGCTTACAACCTTATTGTTCTGAGACTTGAATTACTCATCCTTCACCTGAACCACCAGCTCGCTCTGTGAAGAAGAAAACGCTCAACTGGATCTCCTTTGTGGGGGTTGATCAAACCGAGGATTCAGAAAATTTCTGATCGGCTGAGTTTTCTTTGTTGGTTGCTGGTCAAATCAATTTTTCCTTTCCGATGCCTGGTGAACCCAGAATTCTTGAATTAATTTATTTCCTGTCTAGTTTGAACAATTCATTACCATTCAATTGTTTTTTGAGAAGCAAGTTCACTAGTTCTATTACATCAGTCTACCTAGTTGCGGGATTAGCGATTTTTTTTGTCCTTGAAAGGCATCTGATTCCTCGTCATAGTGTAACATCGGTTATTGTATTGTTGTATCTTTTGATACTTTTATCATTAATAAATAAATTTTCTTTTTGTAAAAAAAAACATGTGTGTAATAAATTAAAACTGATTTGGGAAAGAACAAGACGAATATTAGAATGTTTTCTTTTAAACTATTTTCAGTCCCAGACCAGATCAGACCAGACCAGACCAGACCAGACTTGACTTCCGTAGTTATAAAATACACAGAGACCAGACGTTTACCAGACCAGACCAGACCAGACCAGTTCAGACCAGACCAGATCAGATCACACCAGACCAGACCAGACCATCAAATTTCAGTCCAAAAAAAAACATCCTTAATAGGTAGTATTATTATTGCTTCTGTATACTAGTTACAATCGGTACATCCATATATACTATACTTAGGCGATTGTCATTATAACCCAACTAAGGAAATATAGTTTTTGTCCTATATAAGAAATTTTCTCTCTTGTTTACACAAGTATCTTGGTAATTAAATAGTGACGCACGATACTCTTGAATCTCTGATGCCACAATATAGAAATTATATATGTACATTGTGTCGTTTAATTAAGATTCTATAAGATTATAATATTGTTTGATGTATCCGATAATCTTACGTACGTGTGGTTCATTTATTTGCTTCTCGAAATTCCATAATAGTTTTTGAAATGTTCAGTGTTTTCAATTTTTTTGTTAGGTTAGTTATTACACCAGACATTTGGAAATCTATTCACGATTTCGTAACTTTGCTAAACGGATTGGATGAATGCATCGCAATTGTACACTGATCACTTTTTAATTTATAAGCTTTCAATGAAATAAGAAACGATACTTAAATGGGAAAAAATCATGAATGTAATGTACTTTACGCTATAAGTTTAAGGGACCAAAGGGGGTTGAATTTGGCTTTGCTCTCGTATTTTGGATAAATTTGGACCATTCCATGTTTTCAAAGAGTTAGTATATGTATACTTTTGCTCATTTGACTTTGCAGGAAAGTTTTTGAGCGATATTAGATTTTGTACCTCATTTTCAAGACTTTGACTTTACAATCCTTTTGAGAAAGTTTCTTCACAATTTGTTACGTAGTACTCCATAGCTACAAAGTCAAAGTTTTTTCAAAATAGAGTGCAAAGTCCAATATTACCCAATTACACAATGTAGTGTTATGGTAACCTATGTTTAAAATTAAACTAGAATATAAGTTAATATAATTAGTCACATTTTTATAAACTATCTTAATTTTAGTCATAAATATGTAATTATTTCTAATTATACACATAAAGTCCACTTTATATGTCTTTTATCCGTGTCCTCATTGTAGGTGAACTTTACACATGAAATATTGATGTAATTTTTAGAGTTCCAAATTTGCATTAAAGTTTTTTATTACTTGTTTGGCACTTAATTAAAATCCAAGCCATGCATGATTCGTTCACCATTTGAACTCAATCCTAGATGACCACAGCAAAAATGGCGAAGAACTCCATCACTAGATTGCCCATTATGCTCGTTCTCTTCCTAGTCGCCTTTATCTATCTCGGCACCTTGATTCCCTTCTCCGAGAATATTATTGCATTCCAAAAACAAAAACTTGATCCACCGCCTGTAAGAGATAATCATCAGCCGCGGCTCGAAGAAGCTTTGAGAAAGGCGAAAATGGCGGATTCGAAGACGGTGATCATCACCATAATCAACAAGGCATACGTGGAGCCCATCAATGATGAAAACCCTTCGATGTTGGATCTTTTTTTTGAGGGTTTCTGGGAGGGAGAAGGGACTAGGGTGTTGCTGGATCACTTGCTGGTGGTTGCCATGGATGGCGCCGCCTACGACCGGTGCGTTTTCCGGCGGTTGCATTGCTATGGGTTGATCACAGACGGAGGCGTTGACTTCTCCGGCGAGAAGCTTTTCCTGTCTAAAGAGTTTATCGATATGATGTGGAGACGCACTCTCTTTCTCTTGGATGTTCTTAAACTTGGTTACAACTTCATCTTCACGGTAATTAAACATGCACTTAATTACAAAATCTCATATAAATATTTATATAAAATATCTATCACGTTGTAATATAAAATCTGAATTAAAATTTAACTAAGAATTAATATGATAACTAAGTGAATAAAATGAATCTATTTGATCCAAAATAATCGGTTTTGTAATGAAACATACACAATTTGAGAGGGAGTATAATAAAAGTATAAAATTTACAATATGCAAAAACACTTTTGTAGGAATGACCGAATGAGGAAGCATTAGAAATATAGTTCTTTTTTGCATACTTTGATAGTTTGAATTGTTATCGTCTAAATATGTACCGTTTACATTCATAAATCATAATACATGGTGGCTTGGTGCACCTTGTAATTCTACACTCCAATATTTAATATAAAAAATACCAATATATTCAAGTTTTAGTCCCAAAGGAGTTTGGATAAGAAATAATGAGTGGATAAAAATACGAATTTTAATACACAGTGAGTCAAAATGATTCTGTTCAATTTTGCACATTATAACTTTTATCCCGTTTATATGTTGCGTTGTCTTTGTCTCAGAATGGGTTTTGAGAAAATAAGTTAATTATATTGTTGTTTGTGTATAATTGTAACCTTCAAAAGTAAAAAAAGAAAACTCGTATGACTTCACCAAATAAAGAGATGAAATGATAGATAACATTGTAATATACGGAGTAACAAGTTATTATTGCTCAATTTTAAAAAACGTTCATTTTATTCAAAAGCCAAAAAAAGAAAATGAAATTGTAACTCATAAAATGGGATAAATAGAAAAGAAAAATTAACTTTTTCGGAGTATTCATTTTTACAATACAATACACCTTGATATGATATCTCACACCAAGTGTTACTTTAATATGCCGCGGCCTTAAAACTATCTTTAATTTGACCTATGGATTGATGCAGGACACAGACATAATCTGGTTAAGGAACCCATTCACAAGGCTTAGCAGCAATACATCAGAGGACTTGCAAATTAGTACAGACATATTCACCGGGGACCCCTGGTCAACCTCCAACCCAATCAACACCGGCTTCTACTACGTCCGGTCAAACCCTAAAACCATCACACTGTTCCAGACCTGGTACGACTCCAGAAACAGCTACCCCTCCAACATGAAAGAGCAAGACATCCTTGCCCTAATGAAAAGAGCTGGGGTGTTCAAACAGATGGGCCTTCTCGTAAGGTACTTGGATGTCACGTACTTCAGTGGATTCTGTACCGATAGTAAGGATGTCACTGTCGTCGTCACCGTGCACGCTAATTGCTGCAAAGGCATTGCCGCTAAAGTTGTCGATCTCAAACATGTTCTGAGAGACTGGAAGAATTACCGCAGGGGCCGTCACGTAATTGTGCCGCCCAATTATAGCCACAGTGACAATAACAGTGACAATAACAATAACAATCATTTCAGATGGTCTGAACACTACTATTGCAATCATTCTTGGGGGCCTAGTAAAAATACTTTGGTTTAGTTCTTTACGCTTAAATTCCGCGTAAAGGTTATCACAATCCTCAACCAATATATATACTCAAATTTATGTCCAAACAAAATGCGTATATAATGTTGTGTCCCGGCGGCCGGCCATTTGGGTGTTAAGAGTAGATTTTTGATGCTTTTACTAAAATATTATTCAAATTTTATAATGTTGTACAAAAAATAATTAAATAAAGTGACAACATAATGAGTATACTTTCATAGCTATTATGGTGTAAAGTACTCCCTCCGTGACATTTATATCTTCCCACTTTCCTTTTTTGAATGTAACATTCATATCTTCCCATTTCTTAATCTTTCAATCATACTCTCAATAATTCTAAAAATAAAACACTATTACACCTACTTTTTTTTGGATTTATCCTTCATTCCATCACATTATTTCACTCTCTTCCCATCATACCCTCAATAATTTATACCCCCTTTCACTATTCTTAATCTACCTACTTTTCAAATGGGAACATATATATGTTACGGAGGGAGTACTAAAATATGAATATCTATATTTGTAGTCATAAAAAAGTTAAGTTATGTTTTTGTTCAATATAATTATTTTTGTAATATTTCCCAATTCGTGTGATTTATATTTAATTAATAATTTAAGGATAAAGTAAGAATAAATTAGAACCACATAAAGTATAAAGTACTACGTATGAAATATGATATGAGACAAATTTAATAGAAACACGTAGTATGAGAGAACACAACACTGCTTACCAATAGGTGTCTCTCGGTCTCTCCCACAGTCCCACCCATTATAAGCGGTCTCGGTCTATTGCAAACGGTAAGTGTAGAAAACAAATATTTCTCTCGTTCATTAATAGTTGTAACATTGTGATTTGTGCATTATTCACATATACACTTTGACCACGATTTTCTACTAATATAACAATCAAATTATTACTCCCTCTGTCCCGGCCAATTCGATGGTCTTATTGTCGTTTATGAGGTTTGACCGATGATAAAGCAAATAGATTCATATCCACACTCAAATTATATGTAGGAAATAAAAATTACATAGTCAAAAACTAGCAACATTAATAGCTTTACAAAATCGCAAAAAAAAATCAAATTTGATAAAAGTTTGATATACTCCGCTGAAATATAGAACATATCAATAAGAAATTAAGAGTGATTTGTACTAAGAAACATGAACATCAAATTGGGATGGGAGTAGTATTAAATTTCTATTAATGTGAATCTCCATAGTATTAACCTTTTTTATAAAATTTACTCATACGTAATCATATATAATTACAGTCAAAGTTTTGTGTTGACAAACATGAAAGTCAAATTATTACCACTATTAGAGAAGGAAAAATAATACTCATTCATGTAAGCGCGGAGGATATTCTGTTTTTTTTGTATTGGTACATGGTAGAATATGACGTACATTAAAATCAATGTTGATTTTATGTTTGGAAATTGGAATCAAGTGATTTATTTCCTAGGGAAAAGTTGCACATATGGTATAACTAAAAATAATAGAACATAAATACTAGTTGACTATATTAATAAGCGCAAATTATATCGTAGAACTAGTTCTAACGTGCGTTCAGTACAACCGGGCTTTTTATTACCACTGGGCTTCACTCATCATCACCATTACACAATTGGACGCGACATCTCTCGCAGCTCGCACCCTTAGACAGACGGCTCACCACTCAATGTACGGCTCGTTGTTAACACCCCGGATGGCCAGTAGCTCGTCTCACACAAGATCTCCTTGCTCGCGGTCTCATCATTAGCTCCTCCTAGCCGACGAAACTCACACAACTACCACAGGTCAGATTAGAGTTCTTCACGATCAGATTGAAACTTGTTCACATAGTCTCAATACTCAATATTACATAACACGATACTTAATGAAGATGTTTTGATGTTCAACATAGAGTTCTAATTCTCAATGAAAATGTTTGATCACATTGTTTCAATGCTCAAGAGTAGAGAACATGATACTCAATGAAGATGTCTTGATGCTCAATGCAGATTCTAATGTTCAATGAAGATGTTTGATAACATAGTCTCAATGCTCAATAGTAGATAGAGAAACAATGCTCAATGAAGAAGTTTTTATGCTTATCATAAAATTTTGAAAAATTTATACTCAATTGAAGAGTTCCAATGCTCAATATTAGACTCTTAATACTCAACATAATAGATCTAATACATACTAAAAATGCATTGATGCTAAATTAACAAAAGTTGTATGTGGTTTCAACTAAATTACAAAAATACTACCTCCTGTATAGTTTACACCGTACAACCAACGGTACGATCTACAAACCCACTAAAAAGTGAGGTTACAATACCACAAATCAATATTCGTTCATTTCATATCTCAACATTTTATCATTTTATTAGGTTTCATAATTACAGTGATAATTAATGGGTTAATTTCATACATAAGAGCCCAAAATGACTTGAATGCATAATTAGGAGTACACAAGTTACGCATTCGGAAGTAGGAGTTCTTACTACTATGTTTTTACTTGGACTAAATTCAGTTCTAGACCAAATCAAAGTAGAACGCATTAGTTCAAACCAAACTTAAAGTATTAAACAGGTCATACTTCGATAGTTATAAAACGACATAGACCAGACATACCATACAAGTCCGGTTCAGACTAAACGACATCATACTTGATTTAAACAGAAAAGACAAGACCGGACAAAAAAATCATTTCAATTAAAAAAAATTGTATTCCCTTCTTACACTTCGTTCTATTTTAATTGAAAACAAAATTACCACCAATCAAATAAAACAGAATAAAACAAACCAAATTACCACCAAACCACGACCGCTGCCAAACCGTGGCAATTGTGCACGGAACCTAACCGTGGTGATCACTCAACTATTTGTGACCATCATCGAGATCTAATGAAAAACCTGAGAAGGCCACCATGGCGCGGGGATATCATCCTATAGTAATACCTCAAATATTAATGTAAGGAAAATACCTCAAATTGGAAAACTCATTCATTTTCCAACATAGAACAAGTACTTTAAACTTCCATAAATAGGTTTTTTATTTGTGATTGAATAAAAATACTCTTATAGACTATAGTGTTAGAGTTGTTGCCCCAGATTGTCCAAGTCACCGGAACGCAAAGCCGATCCTGGGGCATGGGCAACGGGCATGCGCCCAGGGCCCATTGCTCCATTTTATAAATATATTTATACCTATTTATTTTAATTATGTATCTATAAAATTTTAAAAATAAAGTCAAGCGTATAATTCTTTTATACTTTCATCAATTCATTATTCTACAATATGTACAAGTAACAAGTTTAAAATTTTGAAATTAAACATCCATACCAGAATTCGTTGGGAATAAAATTTACAATTTCTTTTGATTCATTAAGAAGTAATGCATAAATGCTAAATTTTTTCATCTAGTTCTCTCATGTAAACTCATGATTCATTGATAATATTCTGCTTATTTTCTTTATTCTCTCATGTAAGGGAAAGAATTTATAAGTTTGTGGTTTGTTCAAGGGAAAATGTGATGTGGAATATGAAAAATGTTACTCCGTACTTCATACGAAGTATAAGATATAAACTTTCACATGTTTCACTATTTCAAAATTCTTTATAACAAGTAACAAATGTACTACGTTACTTTTCCATTCGGCCGGTTTAGGTGCTTAGTATTCTCGAATGTCACTCATCAAATATTTAAATATAATCCTTCTAACCGCCTCATTTATTAATTTCTTTGATGTACTCATATTTAGATAACAGAATTGCTTAATTGTACTTATAGTTTTTAAAAAAATATACTCCCTGCGTCCCATTTTACCTGTCCTACTTTCCTTTTTGGGTTGTCCCAAAATAAGTGTCTTCTTTCCTTTTTTGGAAAGAAATATGTGGTTTACACCATTTCAATTTATTAAACTCAAATCTCAACCACAACTTTTACTTTTTCAACCACTTCATTAATAACCGTGCCGAGTCAAAATTAAACATTCACACATTTTCTTTGTGGCTTACGCTATTTGTACTGTCCTCGACCCATAACCCATAAGTGTCAGTACCGAACCTGTTGGAACGTCGCCTACCAGAAAGGCGTGAGATGGTGCAATTGCACCCTTACAAAAGTTTAAAATTTTGAAATTAAACATCCATACCAGAATTCGTTGGGAATAAAATTTACAATTTCTCTTGATTCATTAAGAAGTAATGCATAAATGCTAAATTTTTTCATCTAGTTCTCTCATGTAAACTCATGATTCATTGATAATATTCTGCTTATTTTCTTTATTCTCTCATGTAAGGGAAAGAATTTATAAGTTTGTGGTTTGTTCAAGGGAAAATGTGATGTGGAATATGAAAAATGTTACTCCGTACTTCATACGAAGTATAAGATATAAACTTTCACATGTTTCACTATTTCAAAATTCTTTATAACAAGTAACAAATGTACTACGTTACTTTTCCATTCGGCCGGTTTAGGTGCTTAGTATTCTCGAATGTCACTCATCAAATATTTAAATATAATCCTTCTAACCGCCTCATTTATTAATTTCTTTGATATACTCATATTTAGATAACAGAATTGCTTAATTGTACTTATAGTTTTTAAAAAAATATACTCTCTGCGTCTCATTTTACCTGTCCTACTTTCCTTTTTGGGTTGTCCCAAAATAAGTGTCTTCTTTCCTTTTTTGGAAAGAAATATGTGGTTTACACCATTTCAATTTATTAAACTCAAATCTCAACCACAACTTTTACTTTTTCAACCACTTCATTAATAACCGTGCCGAGTCAAAATTAAACATTCACACATTTTCTTTGTGGCTTTCGCTATTTGTACTGTCCTCGACCCATAACCCATAAGTGTCAGTACCGAACCTGTTGGAACGTCGCCTACCAGAAAGGCGTGAGATGGTGCAATTGCACCCTTACAAACGTTGCCTACCAGAAAGGCATGAGATGGTGCAATTGCACCCTTATACACTCTGATTTTAAATAATAATGCACTTTTTTTCTTAGGTGCAACAGGCCAACAATATATGTTTCTTTATATATGCTAACTAGTATATACTAATTAAACTTTATTTACAATGTCTGAGTATAAACATTTATTTAGGG